TCTACTGGGCACTGGTGCCTGGCACTGGGCACTGATGGGCACCACTGGGTGCTACTGGGCACTGCTGGGGACAAATGGGACACACTGGGTGGCACTGGGTGGGTGGCACCAACTACAGGGGGACACCCAGGGGTGCCAATGGGTGCCAGCGGGCACAGGGGTGGCACAGGGCACTGAGGGACATCCAGGGGTGCCACCAGGTGCCACCAAGCAGGGGTGGGTGGCACAGGGCGCTGAGGGACACCCAGAGGTGCCACCAAGCAGGGGTGGGTGGCACAGGGCGCCGACTGCCACCAATGGGTGCCAGTGAGCGCCACCAACCGCAGAGTGGCACCGAGGGCTGTGCCAACCCCCGCCCCGCGGTGCCACCCGACGCGGTGTCGCCGCGCTGTCCCCGCAGGAGCAGCACGGGTGGCACCATGCCCCGGCCCTGCGCCGCCTGCGCCCACCACTCGTACTCGCCGCACGGCATCAGCTACATGCAGTGCCAGCACGGCGACAGCGACGAGCGCGCGGCCGCGCTGCTCTGCAACGACGGCATGCGCCACCAGGTCACCTGCCCCGCGCTGTGACACCGCGGCGACACCGCGGCGACAGCGACACGGGCGGCGGAGACAGCCGCTCCGGCAAAGGGACGGCTGGAGCGGCTCCAGAAGACCGAAAGAAAAGCCAAAAAAAGCTACAAAATCCCACAGAATTGCCCCCGAAATTCCATAAAATCCTTGAAATTCCCCCGAAATTTCCTTTCCTGGAGCTCCCTCGCGGGGACACCGCGGGGACAGCGACAGCGACAGTGACAGGGACAGTGACAGTGAGAGCCGCTCCGGCAAAGGGACGGCTGGAGCGGCTCCAGAAGATCGAAAGAAAAGCCAAAAAAGCTTCAAAATCGTACAAAATTCAGAGAATTCGCCCCGAAATTCCATAAAATCCTTGAAATGCCCCAAAATTTCCTTTCCTGGAGCTCCCTCGCGGGGACACCGCGGGGACAGCGACAGCGACAGTGACAGGGACAGGGAGCGCCGGTCCGATAAAGGGACGGCAGGAGCGGCTCCCGAAGCCCAAAAAAACCCTAAAACCGCCCAAAATCCTACAGAATTCCCCCCGAAATTCCATAAAATCCTTGAAATTCCCCGAAATTTCCTTTCCTGGAGCTCCCTCGCGGGGACACCGCGGGGACAAGGACAAGGGACAGTGACAGTGACAGGGACAAGGGACAGTGAGAGCCGCTCCGGCAAAGGGACGGCTGGAGCGGCTCCAGAAGACCGAAAGAAAAGCCAAAAAAAGCTACAAAATCCCACAGAATTCGCCCCGAAATTCCATAAAATCCTTGAAATTCCCCCGAATTTCCTTTCCTGGAGCTCCCTCGCGGGGACACCGCCGGGGACAGCGACAGGGACAGTGACAGGGACAGTGACAGTGAGAGCCGGTCCGGCAAAGTGACGGCAGGAGCGGCTCCCGAAGCCCCAAAAAACCCTAAAACCGCCCAAAATCCTACAAAATCCTACAGAATTCCTACCAAAATTCCATAAAATCCTTGAAATTCCCCAAAAATTCCTTTCCTGGAGCTCCCTCGCGGGGACACCGCGGGGACAGCGACAGTGACAGGGACAGGGACAGCGAGAGCCGCTCCGGCAAAGGGACGGCTGGAGCGGCTCCAGAAGATCGAAAGAAAAGCCAAAAAAGCTTCAAAATCCCACAGAATTCCCCCCGAAATTCCATAAAATCCTTGAAATTCCCCAAAAGTTCCTTTCCTGGAGCTCCCTCGCGGGGACACCGCGGGGACAGCGACAGTGACAGTGACAGCGAGAGCCGGTCCGACAATGCAACAGCAGGAGCGGCTCGCGCTCCTCAAAAAGCCCTAAAACCGCCCAAAATCCTATAGAATCACACAGAATTCCCCCCCAAAATCCCATAAAATCCTTGAAATCCTCCCAAAAATTCCTTTCCCGGAGCTCCCTCGCGGGGGCACCGCGGGGACAGCGACAGCGACAGTGACAATGAGAGCCAGCCCCACACAGTGACGGCAGCAGCGGCTCCCCGAGCCCCAAAAACCCCAAAATGTCCCAAAATGCCCCAAATCCCCGCTCCGCTCTCCCCAGGTTTTGTTGCTTTATTTTGGAGTTTGGCCCCTTTTTTTACGCCCCCCCACCCAAATCCCAGTTCCCATCCCCCATTCCCAGTTCAATCCCAGTTCCCATCCCCCATTCCCAGTTCCCATCCGGGGACAGGGGAGGGGACAGAGGGGACAAAAATGGCGAAAGGGATGGGGACAACAATGGGGACAGACCCCTCCTGCCCCTGTCCCTTTCTGTCCCCTCCTGTCCCCGTGCCTGTCGCGACACCGAGACCCGCCGGGGGGCGGAGCCAGGGAGGGCGGGGTCGCTTAAGGGGCGTGGTTACTCAGTGGTGACGTTTTGGCCCCGCCCCTCCGGAGGGCCCGTAACGGCCGCCAGGGGGCGCTCGCGGCGGTTGCCGGGCAACGCGACATGGCGGGGCAGGTGGGGGAGGGGAAAGAGGGGGAAAAAAAGGGGGAAAAAGGGGAAAAATGGGGGGGGGGAAACAAAAAAGAGGGAAAAATGGGGAAAAATGGGAAAAAATGGGGAGAAACAAGGAAAATAAAGAGGAAAATGGGGAAATAAAGGGGGGAAAAGGGAAATGGAAAAAAGGGAAATAAATGGGAAAAATAGGGAAAAAACAGGAAAAATAAATGGGAAAAATGGGAAAAATGGGGAAAACAGAAAACAAATGGGAAAATATGGGGAAAAGGGGGAAAAAAGGGGGAAAATTGGGAAAAAAGGGAATAAAAGGGGGGGAAAATGGGAGAAAAATGGGGAAAATGAAAAAAATAGGGGGAAAGGGAAAAGATGTGGAAAATATGGGGAAAAATGGGGAAAAGTGAAGGAAATGTGGGAAGAATGGGGAAAAAGTGGGAAAAGTGTGGAAAAATGGGGAAAAGAAGTGAAAAATAGGGAAAAAAGTGAGGAAAATGGGGAAAAAAGTTGGAAAAATGTGGAAAAATGGGGAAAAGAAGTGAAAAATAGGGAAAAAAGTGAGGAAAATGGGAAAAAAAAGTGGGAAAAATTGAAGAAAATGGGAAAAAATTGGGAAATACGGAACAGGTGGGGAAAAACGTGGGAGCCGCAGACAGGGAAAGGAGCAGAGCCACTGTCGGGAGTTCAGAGCTGGCTCTGGCTTCCAGACTCTGGATTTCTTCCCTGCTCACTGCCTACCTGCTGGAACACACCACCATCCAGCCAACAGCACAGAAACACACACTAATGGGGGCTCTGATCAGCACCAACAGCTGCCTTTGATGTTTGACATGGTGAGATAAAGCAAAAGTAACTTTTAAAGGATTTCCATGACATTTTTTCTTCCCAGTTAAGTGAAAGAATTTTAAAAAGAAATAGAAAAAGAAGACCCTTTCACCCAAACTTCAGAGATAAAAAGAGAGGGAAAAAATCTTAATCTTAATTCAAAATCCTATTTGATGTGTCGTGGCATGAAAATGTTTTTCACTGCATTTTTTCAGTGTGATCTCATGCACCCTGCAAACGGGGTACGCCCAAAACACCAGGTATTTTATGGGACACAAACAGAACACAAACACACAATTAAAAAAAACAGGGATTGGTAAATATTTAAATTAATCTGAGCTGGCATCTGTGCAGCCTCCCCTCCCAGAGAGAGGGATGTGGTTATTAGGGAAAAAAATGAAAGTTGTTGGCTCTGTGTGTTGTTATTTCTGGTTTTGATTTGCTGCAGTTAATTTGTTGGGTGTTGCTGTGAGCTGGGAAAGCAGCCAGGTTAAAGACCTGACCAAAAAGGAAGTAGGATTAGAGGAGTGGGGAGAGAAAAGTAGGTGGTGAGGGACAGGGACGTGGGGGGACAGGGGGATAATGGGGGACACAGGGACAGAGGGATGGGGGGGACAGGGGGACACGGGGGGACAGGGACGGGTGACGTGGGGATAAAGGGGGAGGACACAGATATGGGGGATGTGGGGACAAAGGGACACAAAGGGACGTGGGGATGGGGACAGGGGGTGTGGGGGACACAGTTTTGGGGGTGCTCCCAGGCCTGGCCCTGGCTGGGGACCTTTTGGGGGGTCCCCACCCCATGTCCCCTCCTTGGGGACCCCCCTGACCCCCCCTCCCTCCATCCCACAGCTGCAGAAACCCTGGGACACGGAACCTTCTGGAAAGGACCAGGGGGGTCCCAGCGGGGGCTCCCCCCACCCTGAGACCCCAAAACCTGAGGACAACACTCAGGGGGGACCCTCTCCCCAAAATCCCCCCGGGGAGGGACCCTCTCCCCAAAATCCCCCCGGGGAGGGGCCCTGTCCCCTAAGTGCCTATGGCTGGGGACCCTGTCCCCAAAATCCCCCCGGGGAGGGACCCTGTCCCCAAAATCTCCCTGGGGAGGGACCCTGTCCCCAAAATCCCCCCGGCTCTGGCCCCCCCCCCAGCTCCTGAGCCCCTGGAGGTGGCTCTGCTGTCATTGTCCCCTCCCCTGGGGACAGTCCCACCCCTCAGGGGGGCACAGGAGGGTCTGGGCCCCCCCAAAAAGGGGAAATAAAGGCTGGGAAATGCAGGAAATCCTTGGAATGAGCCCAAAGCCATTCGGGGTTCAGGGCTCGGCCCTGCTCCCTTCCTCTTCCTAATTAATTTCTTAATTAGGAAATTAATTGGGGTTGGGATTGGGATGGGATCAAACCCCCCACAGCCCTCCTGCCACCCCAAAAATCCCAGCCTGGAGAGGATTCTCCCCCAAAAATCCCGGATTTTCCCAGCAGGATCCCTCCCCACACGGAGCTGGGGGGGGAGGGTCCCTCTGCAAAGGTTCCAAACCCCCCAAACCCGACCCCAAAACCCCCAGGCTCGTCCCTGCTCCTCCAGGAACTGCAGATTTTGGGGTTTTGGGCTCCTCTGGGGAGCAGCAATTCCCCAAATGCCAGAGGGGAATCCCGTGGGTGAGGGACAGGGAGGGGACACGGTGGCTGGAGGACCAGAGCTGCTTTATTGCCCAGGGGACAGGTGACAAGGCCTGAGGTGACAAACCCCTCCCCACCAGGAAACCAGCAAGGCAGGCTCCAAAACTGGCATTTCCCCCCCAAAATGGGCTGAATCATGGAATTCCCACGGGGCTGAGGACCCCCGGGGTGGCAGCAGGGTGACAGCGGGGTGGCAGCGAGATGTCACCTGTCACCCACCCCCGCGGGGCGCTGCCTCCCCGGGGCAAGGGAGGCTCCAAAACTGGGATTTTCCCCCCAAAATGGGCTGAATCATGGAATTCCCACGGGGTTGAGGACCCCCGGGGTGGCAGCAGGGTGGCAGCGGGGTGGCAGCAGGGTGGCAGCAAGGTGACAGCAAGATGTCACCTGTCACCCACCCCCGTGGGACGCTGCCTCCCCGGGGCAAGGCAGGCTCCAAAACTGGGATTTTCCCCCAAAATGGGCTGAATCATGGAATTCCCACGGGGCTGAGGACCCCCGGGGTGGCAGCAGGGTGACAGCAGGGTGACAGCGGGGTGGCAGCGGGGTGGCAGTGAGATGTCACCTGTCACCCACCCCCGTGGGACGCTGCCTCCCCGGGGCAAGGCAGGCTCCAAAACTGGGATTTTCCCCCAAAATGGGCTGAATCATGGAATTCCCACGGGGCTGAGGACCCCCGGGGTGGCAGCGCGATGTCACCTGTCACCCACCCCCGTGGGGCGCTGCCTCAATGGAGCTCCTTGTCCCGCTGCGATCCCGCCCCATTCCCGCTGCCACCGCCAATCCCACTCGTGGGGACACAGATCCCGCATTGTCCCGGCCTCGGGGACACGTGGGGACACCGCAGGGGACACGCAGCGCTGCTGGCAGGGGGGCGGGGCAGGAGGGGCAGCTCTGCTCATCCCGGTTTTGGGGAGGGGGAGCAAGTGTCACCTTCCCCCGGGCGGGGAGCAAGTGTCACCTTCCCCGGGGCAGGCAGCAAGTGTCACCTTCCCCGGGAGGGGCAGGCAGCAAGTGTCACCTTCCCCGGGCGGGCAGCAAGTGTCACCTTCCCCGGGGCAGGGAGCAAGTGTCACCTTCCCCGGGTGGGGCGGGCAGCAATTGTCACCTTCCCCGGGCGTGGCAGGGCTGTCACAGCGCGGCCAGGCCGGCCGAGGACAGCAGGGTCAGGGCCAGCACCAGCAGCCCCGACTGCGTCACCTGCGGCAGCCTCAGCCCCTTGCCCAGGTCCCAGGCCTGCGGAGACACCGGGGGACAGCGCTGTCACACTGTCCCCAGCCCTGCCGGGGGTCCCTGCCAGGGGGTCCCCACAACAGGGGGGTGTCCCCCCTGATCCCACTGCCCTCCCTGCTCCCCGTTCCCAGCCCTTTTCCCATTTCCTCTCCCCCTTTTTCCCACTTCCCCTCTCCCCCTTTTTCCATTTCTTCTCCCCCTTTTTCCCACTTCCCCTCTCCCCCTTTTTCCCATTTCTTCTCCCCCTTTTTCCCATTTCCTCTCCCCCTTTTTCCCATTCCCTCTCCCCCTTTTTCCATTTCTTCTCCCCCTTTTTACCACTTCCCCTCTCCCCCTTTTTCCATTTCTTCTCCCCCTTTTTCCCATCCCCTCTCCCCTTGCCTTTCCCACTTTTATCCCAGTTATCCCACTCCCTCTCATCCCAGTTCCTGCTCCCTTCCCATTCCCCCCTTCCAGCCCTTCTCCCCTCATTCCATCCCCTCTCCACACTCCCACTCCCATTATTCCCATTCCCATTATTCCCATTATTCCCATTATTCCCACTCTCCCCATTCCCATTATTCCCATTATTCCCAAAATATGGAAAACCCTGAGCCCCCCCCCCAAACCCCAGGGGCCAGTCTGGGGTCACACCTGGGAATTCCACGGATCCAGAATTCCCAAAATCCCACCCAGCCCCGGAGCACCCCCCAGCCCTCCCCCAGGGCCACCCCAGTGCCCAGTCCCAGTTCCAAACTGGGAGCACTGGGATGCTCTGGAATTGGCTCCCAAAAACCCCTCCCAACCTTTTGTGCCATTCCCAAAATTCCTCCCCGATCCCAGGAACCCCAGCAGGGTTCCTGCTGTCCCCAAAAGGACACCCAGGTGCACAATTCCCAGTTCCACACTGGGAATGCTCCCATAAAACCCCCCCAGCCATTCCCAACCTTTTGTGCCATTCCCAAAATCCCCCCCCCCAATCCCAGGAACCCGGGCAGGGGGGACGCCCCGGTGCCACCCCCAGTGTCACCTGCTGTCCCCACGAGGCCACCCAGGGGCACAATTCCCAGTTCCACACTGGGATGCTCCCGTAAAACCCCCCCCAGCCATTCCCAACCTTTTGTGCCACTCCCAAAACTCCTTCCCGATCTCAGGAACCCCAGCAGGAGGGACGCCCCGGTGCCACCCCCAGTGTCACCCACTGTCCCCAGGAGGCCACCCAGGTGCACAATTCCCAGTTCCACA